TTTCAAATCCATCTGGATCCTTAGTCTGTTTGTAACTTTCCAAAATCAAAGTTCTAATCACTCTTTTGCTGTTTATTCCAAAAAATATTTTTTTAAGTCCTTGTATTTAAAACTTCTTTCACTAAGGATTGAAGGAAACTCAGCCTGATGTTTTCAGACTTGTCGATCCAAAGGTTCCTAATAGCAAAAAAGCAATTAACAAGCAATTTCCAAAAGTGATTAGAAAAGGAAGTATGCGAACCCAGCATTCTTAAAGGCACTGACCGTGGTTTGAGCAAGATGGCTATTCCCTCATCTTCCAGAGCTCTTAACTTCTGGAGACTGCTGTCTTGCAGTCTCCTCGCGAGGAACAACTGTTTGGAGCATTTGTGAGTGATCTCAAGTCCTCTCCTTGTCCAGAGAGGAATTACGAAGAGGCAGTCTACTCACCGGCTCTTCATTCTACTGTGGTTGTTGGCTCTGCTTTTAGCATAGCATCTTCAATTCACTGTTTCTTCCAAGTAGAAGTCCAAGCAGCTGCACCCTTTGGAAGGTTGATGCAGCTACTTCAGAAGTTGTCCCAGTAGAAATGTTGCCTGTGCAGAGAACACCCTTCAAAGCTGCCACAGAAGCCTTCTAAAATATGTCTGCTTTAATGCTTTGAGAAGGTTCCTCACGCATGCAAACATACTTGTGAAGGCTTTGCACAACCCTGCAGCATACTGCTTATAACCTGTAACATATTTGTTTGTTATCTGAAAAAGTCAGAATTGCAGCTAATCTTGCACATATCAAAATTATTTAGTCCAGGAAGGTTTTGATCTTTTGTTTTCTTTTTACTTAAGAAAAAAAAAGCCAAAGTGCTATTTGTTCATTAGTTATTGAATAATAGATACTGTGTTGGCAAAGTAAAATTTTAAATGTATTGTACTAAAATAGTTTGATTTGGTTTATGTCTTGTTTAGCTCAGAATAGTCCAAATCCTGAATGGGAGGGAAAAGTAACGGAATACTTCAAAGAGAAATTAAAAGAAAATAATGCAACTAACTGGGTAAGGCTATATTAACTTATGAAAACTTAAGTTATTTGATGATGGGTTTCAAAATCTTTGGTAACTTTGATAGCATTGCATTGAATAACTTTATACATACAATAGTGCTAAAAGAGATTATAAAATAAATTGAAAAAGTTTCTAGTAATTTAGGGTTAGAGTCAAATAAGTGACTGAGATTGTTGCATTTCAAAAAAAATAGAATGAATTGTACATAGAGTAGATTTAGTTAATTCACTGCATCTCAAAGCATGACTAAATTAAATCACATTTATTTCAGTGATTACTGAGAAAATTTTTAAGCAACCAGTGTAAATTCTGTCAGCCTTTCTATGTAAATATTGGGTTTTCAGACTAAATTAAATCACATTTATTTCAGTGATTACTGAGAAAATTTTTAAGCAACCAGTGTAAATTCTGTCAGCCTTTCTATGTAAATATTGGGTTTTCAGACTTACATAAATTAAGATATAATTAAATTAATAATCATTAAAAAAGTTATAGAATTCTGATTGCCTCATGAAGCTCAAAATCATTGAATTTTTTTTTTACA